TCTTTTTTTTTCTGGGGCTAAAGAGTAGTTCCAAAAATTATAGATTGTGAATATTCAGACAGTAAACACCAGGGGGTGCTGTTTGCCTCAGTAATGGTGACAGAGAAACCACTGTTCATCAGCACTGTTAGCTTGGCCAGCCTGGTTCTTTAGCAGCTGGTGATCAGACAGAACTGAGGTATGCTAACTATGACAGATGGAAGTGAGGATGGCTCATCTAGATTAAAAAAACAAAGCATTTTCTTAATCACACAAAAAAAAACACGTTTCCAGTTGTCCTGGACACCATACCCTCCCTTTGCCACACATAATTACATTGTTTTGTGTTCCAGTTAATTCAGTTAATTACCTGTTTTGTTTGATTGTCTTTCCCAGCAGCCTCATTGACCTTCTCAGGCTTGCTTTCAGTTGAGAGCTCTTCAAAAAACTGGAAAAACATTCACAACACAGTAAATGAGATACAGTTCATTTTCAAAGCAGAAGATCTACTATGAGATTTTTGAGGAATAAAGATCAACTTACACTCTTTTTCCCCTTTTTGTCTTTCTTTCCTTTTTTAACTGTTTTTTCTGTGGGACGATTTGAGATAAAATTACACTCTTAAAAATTCAAGAGATCAGAGAATCCCCTTATAGTTGCCAAAATTTCACAGTGGTCATCAGTCTGCTCCATCAGGCTGATGAACGTAGTTGTGTTGTCTTTATTTTTAGTCTCATATACTAAAATGGATGGCAGTCATCTGAAGTTACATGAAACTCAATATAACCAAGGGCTCAAGGAAAAATACTGTCATAAAATCCATTTGACATCCAATTATAAAAGCAGCAAACCGAAAGGAACTATGAATCTTTTTGACTTTTTTAACATGTGAACTGAAACTTTTTGCAATACTGGAACTGGAAGACATTTAAAATACTCAAAATAAATCAACAAGCCTTCAGGTTGGGTATTCAAAGAAAGTTCTTTGTAGTCCTAGAAATAATAATAAATATACAAGTAGAAATAAATAAATAATGATTTATGTGAATAAAACGACCAGAAAAAAGGTCTTCAGAAGTATAAAAATATATTTGTGTGTGTGTGTGTGTGTGTGTGTGTGTGTGTGTGTGTGTGTGTGTGTGTGTGTGTGCGCGCGTGTGCACGTGGTGTTGAAGATCTAACTATAAGACGTCTGCATAATGTAATGCAGTTTTAGCTAGTTAGTTACTTAAATAATATTTGTTTTGTAAGAATGTATCCTCCCCATTTAAATTAAATTCTATTCTAACTTCGTAATTTGTAAAAAGCATTTATCTCCAACTCTGACACAGGGCAACACAGATGTACTCATGAATCATGTATCATCAACAATACACACACTGTGAGGGTAATTTAAAGTAAAATGACATTTCTGTTTGGGACTGGGGGAAGAAGCTGGAGTACCCAGAAAGAACCCATGGTTACAGGGGTAGAAGATACAAACTGAACACAGAATTTCTGTCTTAATAGAATGTATTATGTATAATGTATTATATTCCCAATACATCTTTACCCTCAAAACTACAGCTTCAGGCTTTCTGATGATGTGTTGATGATAAACTCATCAACACATAAAGCAAAGCCAGTGTCATAATCGCAATGTAATTTATATATATATATATATATATATATATATATATATATATATATATTCATTGGAATGAATGATAGTCGAGTGTACTATCCTAAGGTTTTGTCTGTTGGAGAAAGAGTTATACAATATTTTTTATAGTAGTAGTAGAGTTTTAAGACAGAATAAATTATCCGCATTGAAATCATCTTAACTGAACTTTGGCCAAAAGTTACAAGAAAGCATATCCGGTATAGGAGTTAGAACGGTCGTTTTAAAACTGCTTGTCTGCTGACAGGAATGACAGTCTGCTACTACCAGTGATTACAATAAATCAACTGAGTTTTCTTTGACTCACATCTTGCTAGCTGGAATGCTATATATCCTTTACCCAACTTCACACAGTCAGTTTTCTCACCTGCCCCTGGAGCGACATCAGTGTCCACCCATTCTGTTTCTTCTTTCGCTTTTTTAGGCATTTTATTAATTTAACTGCGAATTTTCCTAAGTATGACGTTGCTTTAATTTCTATCAAATAGACTCAGCTAGTCTCACATGTACTGTGGCCTGATAACCCAATGATGCAATATCAGGTCGCCAAACGCAGTCGGCGGAAACACATAACCTTAGAATTTGCAGCGACGCGTCAACATGGGCGCCATGTTGGAAAGGGAAGGAACCCAATGACCATAGCTGCTGTAATCTGATTAAAAGTAGTTAACACATCCAGTGGCAGATACCTCTGGACACTTTCTATTGAGCCCTTCCCAATCTCCTCCACCTCTACAACTCTCCATTTGTAAGTTCATTTGTAAGTACAGTTACATTAAAAATGTGTCCTTGGGCAAGACACTTTCCCTACCTTGCCTGCTGGTGGGGGTCAGAGAGCCCGGTAGCACTGAGTTATGGTAGCCTCACTTCTGTCAGATTGCCCCAGGACAGCTGTGGCTACTATCTCGCAGCCACAGCTACGAGAATGTGTTTGAATGGGTGAATGACTAAAAATGCAGTGTGAATCACTTTGGGGTCCTCAGGACTTGATAAAGCACTGCACAAGTACCTGTCATTTACCATTTTACGATGCATTTATTTTCTGCCTTATGAAGTCCTATGGGTATGAGTGAATTTAGGTCACCTAAATTCATTTAGAATTTAGGTGCATTTTAGAAAGAGTTTAGAATGAAGTGTTCTGGGGGGGTTTTATTTTGGGAAAAAAAATGGTAGTTTGAAAAGCTTCATTTTCAACTCAAAACCGTGTTGAATAAAGTTACTTTCTCAAGAGGTCCCACCAAACAGTCCCCTTTCTCTCTCCATCCATGTGGAATCGCGACCTGTCTTTTGGAAGCAATAGTTTTTCACATTACTACATCATTATTGATCAATTTCTGACCCATTAGCTGTTGTCTTGGCAATAGTCAAGTCGTTTGGGAAGACTGCATCTCTGTATTCCTAGCAACAAAATGCTCCTTTCCTGTCCATTTATTTGTTTTATCAGGTATAGACGACAGATCCTTCCAGCTTTAAACAGATTGGTTACACAACATCATAAATCTGACCTTATAAATTCACACCACATATTCAGTATGTAAGATGTACTTATCTGGTAAGTCACCTGCGATAAGGGAATCAGTGACTATGAACCTAGTATCAGAACTAGGTTCAACTCAGGAGGAGCAAGGGAAACAATGTGTTGAACAAAACACATATTTATTACACATTCTGACAAAAACACAAACAGAACAAAATAGTCAATGTTTTCTTTTAGTAGTCCTAAGTCAAGTCAGTCAAGTTCAAGAGTTTTTGTCCTTTTATTTGTTTTCAGTTCAGTTCAATTTTCAGATCTGAATATATGGTAGCTACCCGGGTGGTGTTAATATGTGCAAACCTTCTTCTGTCCACCAATCAAGTGGAATAGAAGAAGATTCTTCTTTGGCATCGTAGTGGACACAATGTGAATCTGCTCTTTTGGATCCTGGCTCACTGTTCTTCACATGTTGCCTCTCAACACACACACAAAAGAACAACAACCAGAGATTTGCAGCAAGAAAAAAATAAAAATTAAATTTAATCTCAAAAACAAAGTTCTTCCAGGTCCAGGTACACAGGAATCAAAAATCAACCATAGAAGAAAAGTAATTCTTGAAAAATATTGAAAAGAATACTGAGTTTTGTCAATAAAGTGACTACATAAACGGTTTTTTCCTTCTTCTGTTTGTTCTAGCCCAGTGTTTCTCAAACCTGGTCCTCACCGCCCCCCCGCTCTGTATGTTTTAGATGTGCCTCTAATCCAGAACAGCTTCTTCTTGTTGTTGTTGGTTTTACGGCGGTTGGCAACAAACTTTTAGTAGCATTACCGCCACTTACTGGTATGGAATGTGGTTCATGATGATCTATATACTTTCCCCTACTTTTACTTCCCTAATCCCTAATCCCTACATTAATTTCTGACTAAACATACACTCACACATACACACCTACTTATATAACCTTACTTGCCTATAGCTTTATGTACCACTCTTCCTTATTCTTTACACATTCACAACCATCTTACTCTACTCAGATTCTATGAAATACCTTTGTTTTTTTTAAGAAACCAAATAATTATTTGAATATGTCTACTCCCCAAATCCCTCCTCAAAAATCTAATAAATTAAACCTTTAATACCTTCACACTCTCTCAACATGCATCTTCTCTCTTCTTCATATTTATAACACTCTAAAATAACATGCTCTATTGTTTTAAACTTATCACAATAATCACACTTTCCAGTTTTATGCTTCTGTATTTTGAAAAGTGAATAATTAAGCCCTGTATGACCGAACCGTAACCTTATTATTCTTTCCTCCTTCCTGTTTCTTCTGCCCTTTCTTGTCCTTCCTACAAACTTCTGAATTTTATAAAACCATCTTCCTGTTAAACCTTCATCCCACCTTCTCTGCCATATTTTCATCAGCTCCTCTTTGACTTTACTTTTCCCTTCAGATTTACTTGTCCTAACTGTAAAACTAATAGGATTATGTATTGCCTTCTTTACCATTTTATCAACCCTCTCGTTTCCTTCTACCCTTATATATGCTGGAACCCATACAAAAACAACTACTAACCCCATATTTTGTATTCTAAATAAAGTATGATATATTTCTAATAAGATGTCCATCCTACTATCCGTATTATTATATTTTATGCTTAACAAAGCCGAGCTTGAATCTGAGCAAATTATTGTTTGCAGTGGTTTTACGTCCTCTATCCATTGCAATCCCAATATCCAGAACAACTGATTCAAATGATTGCATGACCATCAAGTGCTGCAGAAGCCTGTTAATCACCCAGAGATACAATACAGATGTGTGGCAGAAGGGAAATACGTAAAACATGCAGGACAGGGGCGCGGTGAGGACCAGGGTTGAGAAACACTGTTCTAGCCCATATTCTCATATCACTGTAGCTTTAGACTACTTTGAAACCATTTACTGCCACCTATCGGCAATGTGGTGCATTACAGGCTATAATTCATATTCGTTAAAATAACATGGGTTACAAGAATATCACTAAGCACACAACAAACAAATGTGACTTTACCTTGAATAATTGCTTCATGTTACTTTTACATCAGTGCCTTCCCCGGTGTAGAACCGTTTTCAGTTGAACCTGAAGCTGCAGTAAACATGCAATTCACAAAAGTTTGTTCACCCAAACAAACAGACCCCTGAAGAGCCTGGGACAGCAGGCTAATAGTATCTTACATGACTGAGGGCATTTAAATGATAATTATGCTTTTTATTTATAAGCACCTTTCAGCTTATAAAAACTGAAAGGTTTTATTAGCTATCCAAGAGCTGGACAGCCTATATATAAAGCACCTTATTTATAAGGTGCTTTATCAATAAGCACCATATAAATGGTGTTGACCATGTTTATGTTGTTGACAACATAACACATTGTGAGCAAAAGGTTAAAAACTGCTCCAAAGAACAACATGAAATGCAAATGTCAGTGGTGTGACGTGTGGGAAGGTAATGTAGGGTTTGATAATCCCAGTGAGATTTGAGGAGGAAATTGAAAGTGGGCAAAGATGTTGTTTGGGGGTTCTGTTTATTCCAGAGTTGGGGAGCAGAGTATAGCTGAAAGACCTGAGTTCTACCCAGATAGCACATGATGTTAAATCAACGTTGAAAAATAGTTAGAATCGTTGATTTTTGGTTGAAAT